TCAGATCCCGACTCGGTGCAGCAGAAACATGAGCCCTAAACTCTGCCTGGTATGTCCTGCTGCCCCGCAGCCACCAACATTAAATCATTTCTGCTCTGATTCCGTCCATAAAATCGCCTGAGCAGCAAATTCCTGCAGCATGTGGAGAAGCTTCGTCTCATCAGCCGCTCTGACCTTTGACCTGGGAGGAAACCAGCACGAAGCGTCTCAGAGCGGCGAGCCGTAGCTCTGCGGTGAGCGACTCGTCAGTCACTAAGCCACTTAGGCTGGGATAATTAGGTGGAAGGACGACGCAGCGCCATCAGAGTCACAGAAATGGGTCTGGTTCTGATCCAGTTCTAATCCCAAAGCAAACAGAACCACATATAAGTATTTCCACATCTCATCCCAAAGTTTCGCTGGGATCCTCTGTGACGCGTTACGCTGTGAATAAACGTGGGTCAGTTCCCAGGTTTCCTCCATTCTTCAGTAGAAGAATGGAGGAAACCTGGGCGGCCAAACCCAGACAGGAAGCCGCCCTGGGCTGCTGCCCACATTGTCCATATCAGAAACCAACAGTCTGTCCATCTAAAATAATTATTTACCTTAATGAGAAAAAAATAATTTTCCTCAAGAAAATAAAACCTGTTCCTGTGGTTCACATCCAACATGTGAAACAGGAAGTCTTATTCTGACTGTGGTTTATCGACATGTTGCAGCGTGACATCACACAGTGGATCCCGCCCACAGCTTCCTGCTGGAGGGCTAACAGCTGCTCGCTAATGATGGCTAGCAACGAGTTTAGCTGTTATCAATAAAACACACTGAATCTTCAATGTAGACGTGATGCATAAAAGGAAAATGGACGCAGTGCTTTGCTACTAATTATCAACACAACTAGATAACAAGGTACAAAAAGTATTAAATAAAATAATGGTGAGGGAGAGGGGCGTTACGCTAGCTTGACTTTGACAACGTAACATGTAGATGTGCTGCAGAATTTTGTGTGTTTATGTTCAGTTAAAATAAAAAATATGACCTAAAGAACTCGGACAAAACATCAGTAGAGCTAATCTACCACCGCTGTTAGCTTAGCTAATAGCAGTGGTAGCTAGTCTTCCACAGAGATCATTTATTAATAATCACAAAATAAATATCGATCCTGAAAACATGAAACTGTAACGGACTGGATGTTCTGATCTCTGTGTTGGAAATGTTTGAGTGTTTTTTGGTCTTAAATCCTGAAACATTAGTTGTCAGTTGCTATGGCAACGAGTCGACACAGAAAGCAAGAAAAGCAAGAATCCAAGTGATTTGAGTTGTTTGACGTTTTTCTGTTGTTTCCCTTTGCTCAGTTAATCTCACCAACATCTCCAGGTTTTATTTTGGTAACGTTTCTACTGCGGCACTAAAAGAATCGTCTTTCTGCCCGTTTCTGGTTGTAAACAATAACTTGCAGCATATCTTTAGGAAGGTTCTGGTTCTTTAAAACATTCCTCAGTTAAATCATCTTTATTCAATCCCACCCAAACTGTCTGATTCCTGTAGTTTTCCTCCAGAGTAATAAACTGATAATCACAGAACGTCTCAGTGAGCAGCTTCCTGAACATCAGGGATCGACTCTCAGCTCCTCTGGTTCCCGGCTGACCTTTGACCCCCGGCAGCAGGTTCTGTGGATTCTGCGATCTGCTTGGAAACTGAGAGAAAACCAGGAAATGCGGGAACGTTGGTCTGGAGAGAAAACAGGTGAAGAAGAGGAAGCTGGGTGGATGAAGATGAGGGCGGATGATGAAGATGAGCGCGGATGATGAAGATGAGGGCGGATGATGAAGATGAGGGCGGATGATGAAGATGAGGGCGGATGATGAAGATGAGCGCGGAGTGAACGCTTCAGGGCTCCAGAAACAACAGGAAACATAAAGTCTGGATCATGACATTACCTCAGGAAAAGACCCGGTTTTCTGTTATTGTGATATTTTTCATGAATGCTCCGGCCGCCGCAGCTCATGGCGCTTTATTGCTGGTTGCCTTATTTATTGCCTCTTCTTTGCCCGGCTGCAGCTTTCCGAGCAGCAGAATTGCGCCACGCCGTTTGGAGCGCGTCCAGTTTAATAATCCCAGCCTCGACACGAACCGAGCTGCTCCGGTCTGAAGGGAGTTTCCTCTGCAGACGACCTCCACTTAATAACCACAGAGCAACGGAGTGTTGAGCAACGGAGCGATAAGCTGTGGGAACGCCGGCCAACTCCACGTTTACATGAGCAGAAATGAAAATTAGGTAGAGATGAAGAGCTGCTGCAGGAATGTGTGTTTGTCTCTATCAGTGTTTGGACTTGTGGAAGTGAGAGGGAGTGAACCCAGAGAGGTTTCAGACGACCACTGGGAGTACGGAGGCCCCACTTGGACAAAAATGTTGTATACAGAGCAAACAGTGAGGGGTTCAACGAGGGGCAAAACAACTCGAAAGAAAAACACGATTTTCTCCTTGGAGAGATTTAAGAAGCAGCTGATGTGGCACCTTGAGCTGACCTCCACCCTGAACTCCACCAACCAGGAGAAACGATCCGTCATGTCCAGGTTTTCAGCTGAACGGAGCCAAACACAGAATCAGGATCAAAACACCCCAAACCAGGGGTGTCCAAAGTGGGTCCTGGAGGCCCGGCATCCTGCAGGTTTCAGTTCTCTCCCTGGTTTAACACACCTGGATCAAATGATGGCTCGTTAGAAGGCCTCAGAAGAACACTGACAAGCTGAAAGGTTGTTAGTTCCACCAGGAGGGAACTAAAGCATGCAGGATGCCGGGCCTCCAGGACCCAGTTTGGACACCCCGGCCCCAAACAGACACAGCTGGATGAACTCAGATGAAATTGATCTGAATCTTTAAAACAAGCTGTTGTTCCTTTGGGACAGTAATGGCCGCTGCTTCTCATTTTAAGATTCATTTCTACAGTTTCCTGTTTCAAACAGAGAAATGTTCTCACTTTTACCAAAATGCAGTGAACAAATATCCAAGACTGCAATCACACCAGCAGCCCAGTCCAATCCGCTTTATACCAAATCCGGTCCACTTCTTTAGAAACTCCAGTTCGGTTGGTCATGTGTGAATGCTAACACTGGTCAACAGCCAAAAAATAGTCTGGGGGTTTCCAACTGTTTTAGAGTCCTGTTGATGAGCTGAATCCAAAAATCACTTTGGTTTTGCTCAATCAGGTCAACTTTCTGAACTATGGAGCAACATGAGTACCAAAATGCATGACTTGTTCTGACATCTGGATCAATTTCCTGAGAATCTGATCAATGATTAATGAGCAGGAGGAGAGATTCCATCAGAACAGAAAAGAGACGGAGAATTTTACACAATGTTCAGTTTATATGTACTTCCCCTTATTAGTGTCTATTATTCAATTTATAGAAATCCCAGTTTGTAACATTTAATTAATACACTCTGTTAGAAAACTTATTTGTCCTAAAATCTTTTTTGGATGAGAAATATAAATGGAAATGAACTGATAATGTCACTAAAATGTAATTTAGTCAGAAGATCACATTTCTCTAAATGAATTTAGAATAAAAACTTGACCTGACTGAGAAAAATCAATGTCATTTTGGGATTTAGTGGTGCAAAATAATCCTAATTCAGCTGAAAAAACATAGACCATGTCAAAAAAAAAAAATTTTGTAACCCAGTGTAATTAACCTCTGACCTCTGGTCATCCAAACCTCAGTCTGGGTTTGGTTGAAGTGAACTCTGGTTCAGTTTGAATGTGAACGCCAAGCGGACCAGAGATTGCTCTAGAAGCAGGAAGTGAACTACAGCGCAGGGCATTCTGGGTAAATACAGCCAAAGCTAACATGTTTGCATGAAGCAAAACGTTCCTGCAGCAGAACATCAACAGGAACAATCTGACTTTTCAAACGGAACAAAAAACTTTAAACTTTCTAAAACGTCCTGAGCTGAAAGCCGCAGAAACAATCAGCTGCTGCCGCGAGTCATCAGGGAGGAGCGTGATGCATTCAGACCTGAGAGGCTAACAGAGCAGATGTTTGTGTCTGCACTGAACACACACACACACACACACACACACACACACACACACACACACACACACACACACACACAGGCTGCAGGAAATGATGTTACTGTTGTTCATTCTTTAGGTTTTATTTAAACCACGAGACAAGGAGCGGATTGAAAGGAGTGGATAAAGACAGTAAATTAATACCAATAGAAAATAATGATAAATTAATTAATTAATAAAATTAAAAGCAAAAGTTGCAGTGTTGTTTAAAATGAAGTAAATTAAATTACTGAGTTATTTACATATGTCATATAAAAGGGGAGGAGCAAGTTTATATTTCACAACAAACAAACATTGTCAAAAATGTGAAAAAACAAAATTTTGAAACATAAACTTTGGATCTAAATTACAATCTAAAAAATATTAACTTATAAATATCCTTAAAAACACAAACAAGAAAATCATGTAAGAAAAGTGACATTTAACATAGTTTCTGTGTGTGATGTGAAACCAGAGCTCAGCCTCTATAGAAGGTCAAAGGTCATGACCCTGACTCAGTATGGCTGTTTGAAGGGTTAAACTAAAACTAACATAATAATGAAATAAATGAAAACCGTAATGTATGAGGAAAAACTGAAAGTGACTGGAACTATATCATAAAACTAAAACTAAATGAAATTATACATATAATATTCTTCATTTTGTGTTTATGGATTTATTTATTAACTTTTCAATCTGATGTAAAATGTGTTTATTTTTCCACACAGTTTATTTACGCTAAATGACAACAGAATCAGTTCATTGTCCTTCAGTAATTTAGTTCATCTGTAGAAAATGTTGATAACTCATGTTGACATAATCACAAACCTCAAATGAAAATCTGAAAAAATGACCAGTAAAACAGCTAAACTGAAGCTAAACAACCAAAAACACAAAAATGAGTTCAACAAACTAAACAACACAACCAAATGAAACTAAACTGATGAAAAACCCAGAACCAAGATGGCGGAGGCAGCAGGACCGGAGCGGGTCGGCAGCAGGATGTCTGTGCTGACGGCGTTGCGTCGACCCAGGAAACCTGATGAGGGTTCATTCTGGGGTCAGAGGTCAGGGACGGCCTCTGGTTTCATCGATAGAAACTGGAGACAGAAAAACGTTTCTGGAAACACGACAAAATGTGACGGATCTAAGATATTAATTTATTAAAACAAGAAATTTATTAAGATTAATGTGAAGAAATAAATCAAAACTTTTAAATTATGTACAATTTCATGTTTAAAGAAACTAATTTGTAAAAGTACATACGTTGCTGTGTTGCCATGGTTACAGTATGATGTTTTAACCAATCACTGATTTAAGGTGAGCCCGTTAAGTCCCGCCCCCTTCCCAGATTTAACCAAATCTGAAACGCTATTGGCTGATGGAACAGGAAGTAAGATTCTGCTCAACGCCCGAGACATAGTGGCAGAAAAACACATGTCAGAGGTCAAAGGTCAGAGCACTGACCAGGTGTCTGTCCTGTTTTAAAGGGCCGGAGTCATTTACAAATCAACTTCTTAAAAATCTTTCCATCATATTTTAATGTTATTTAATCAGAAACAAACCTGCAGTGTTGCTCTGATTCCTGCATGTTTGACAAATCCTCTAATCTCCATGGCAACCATTCAGCCGCTAAACGCCTGGGTGTACCTAGCCCCGCCTTTGAGATGCAGCTCCTCCCCCACTCAGCTCCTTCAGACTAGCCAGCAGCAATTAGCAAAGCTGCTGCTCTACTCATTATAGGAGCTGCTGCTCAGAGCAACGCTGGTGAAAACATTAAAGGGTTAATAGAGGACCCATGTTGGGATGACTTCCTGGAGGCGGAGCTTCAGGAAGAGCAGGAGCTTCTTAAAGAGACAGAGAACCAATTTCAAGACGTTAAAACAGGAAGTCAAATTTCTTCTATCATTTTTATGCTGTGAAGTCTCATTTTTTTGCCTGGAAAACAGGACACTTCCGCTTTAAGGTCTTATGTGAACCATTTATCTTCCAGGCTGGAAGGAAAAAGTTCAGATTAGAGTTTCTTCTGCACCGTTGCGGTGGTTTCTCTCCCTGCTGATTTCTGTTCTCTGTGCAGAAATGGGACCCGAACCTGAAGCTGGTAGCAGAGAGCTACGCTGCTAAATGCATCTGGAACCACAACCCGGCGCTGGACGACACGGGGGAGAATCTGTTTGTGAGCAGCGGGCCTCTGGACCTCCGAGACGCTCTGGAGAAATGGTTCCTGGGTGAGTCATGGCCGCGCCCGTCCATCACAACCAGGCAACAAAAACACAAAAACAGGATTTTTTTTCAATGAGCCGAGTTTCTTTTGCAGAACATTTGGACTTCGACTACCAGAACAACAGCTGTGACGAAGACAAGATGTGTGGGCACTACACACAGGTCACACACACACACACACACACACACACACACACACACACACACACTCTGTAGCTGTGATGATGCAGGTGGGTGTGGAGATGATCACGTCTGAACGGTGTGTGTGTGTTGCAGATGGTTTGGGCCGACACACACCGGGTCGGATGTGCTTTCCATCTCTGCAACACGATGGAGGGGCTGGACTTGGAGCGAGCGTCCTTCCTGGTCTGCAACTACTTCCCAGCGTCAGTCCTGACTCTCTCTCTCACACACACACACACACACACACACACACACACACACACGTTTGCGTGGCTAATTTTGTGAGGACTTTCCATTGACTTCCATTAATTTGCACAGTCTTACCCTAATTCCTAACCAAAACTCAGTTCACACCTCGGTCCTAAATCTGGCCCCTGCTCGACTGAATGCCGACATTTAACGTCTTAAAATTTATGTAATTCAGTTTTGTTCCAATTTATGAATTCAGAATAAATTTATTTTCAGCTTTCTTAGCAACAGGTCCCTTTGAACTCGAGGCATCGTCAAACCTTTCCTTGTTTCTCCACACTGTCAGTTAATTTTGTATTTATCATGTAACTTTTCATATTTTTTATTATTTAGTCCAACAAGGTGTAGAACCTTCCAGGAGTCACGTGACCACAGATCGTCATGGCAACCCTCATCATCCCTAGTGTAAATCTGCATGTTGGTCCAATTTAGACCATTACAGTCAGATGCTGTGCGAGAGCTCCCCCTGGTGGACAGAACCCAGAGAACCGCTGACTGATCAGAACCTTTCATGTTTGTGTTGTGTGTGTGTGTGTGCGTGTGCGTGTGTGCGCGTGTGCGTGTGCGTGTGCGTGTGTGTGTGTGTGTGCGTGTGCGTGCGTGTGCGTGCGTGTGCGTGCGTGTGTGTGTGTGTGTGTGTGTTCAGGGGGAACTATGAGGACCAGCGGCCGTACGTTGAAGGCGACTGGTGCTCCAGTTGCCCAGAAAACCTGCAGGAGTGTGAGAACAATCTGTGCGGTAGGAAATGTTCCGACCGGTTCTGTCTCGACCCAAATCCGCTCGTTTCTTCCTCTCTTCTTTTCATAAATTTCCTTGTTTTTTCTTAGAAAATTTCTGAGTAATCTGAAAATTTCAGATTTTTTTCAAGCACATTGAATTACTGAATATTTTCTTGTGTTTAAATTTCTGATCTGTTTGCAGAAACTGACTCCACATTTGTCCGTGTAGTTTGGCTCTGATTCACCTCACAGATTTAGAAAATCTTTGCCTTTTCTGACTTTCTTCTTTAGCATCAAATCCACTTCCATCTCCAACGATCTTTGTAAATTGAACTTGAATTTATTGTTTCATTGTTATAAAACCTCTCAGTGACGTCATGGTGGAATATTTTGTGTTGTAGTTCCTGACGTGGAGGAAGAGGAGGTCACCATCGGGTCATCGGATCCGCCTCCACCCAGGTGAAAAAAAGTATACTTAAGTATATTTCAAACATACTTACATTTGTGAAAGTACATTTTAAGTATACTAAGTATTAAGTGTACTACCTATAAATATATCTGAAGTATATTTAAAGTATGCTTGTACCAATTTTGAAATTATAACTTTAAACACACTTAAACATAATTGTACCAAAATACACTTTTAATATATTAAATAAAATATTTTGTTCACTTAAAATACTTTAAGTGAACAAAACATATATTTGCCCAAGTATATTTTAAATATATTTAAAATATATTTTGTGTATATTTTAAAATATATGCTCAAAATAGATTTTTTTTTTATTCACTTAACTTTACTTTAAATGATTAATTTCACTATGTTTTAAATTACATCTCAGTGTAAATTTTAGGCTAATAAAGTATGCCTTTTTTAACTTCTTTATTTAACCGGGTGAACCCCGTTGAGATCCAGATCTCATTTTCAAGAGGGACCTGGGCAGAAGTCTGCAACACGCAGCAACCTGATTACAAAATAAAACTATTGAATACAAATGCAGAAGTTTGTCTTTTAGGCACCTTTAAAGTACTTTTCATGTAATTTTTAGGCATATGTTTTATGTGCCTACAAAGTATGCCTTTTTAGGTGCCTTAATAGACTTTTACTATTTTTGTTAAAATTGCAAAGAATAAAAAAATGATAATCATGATGTAATGTTAGTACCCAATCCGTTTTCAGATCTATAATCAACGGGTTTAGCTCCAGTTCACACTCCAGACCAGATGGTGGCGGTATTGCACACTTTCATTGAGAAAAAAAAACGCCTTAAAGAGAAGAAAAAACTTGAAAC